AATTCATAATTCAATTTTTCATGGGTCTTATTTTTATTTTATTTTTCGTGTTTCTCCTAATGGCTCTTCTTCAATAATACACAAATAATTTATTACAAGAATTATCCTATAATACATGAAGAGACTGTACCTTAAGAAATTTATTGAGTTTTTAATAACACCAACCTAATATTTTGCTGGTTCAATTAATAATGTTCTGAAACTTGTTCATTCATCTTTTTTTTGTCAAATTAGTAGTTGACACCATTAACTTAATCAGTTATCATTTAGATCCTCTTTAATATCCTAAAAAAATCTTAAAATATTTATTAACATGATTCTAGGTAAATATTTGTATATTTGAATTTTTTTATCTATTAGATATTTGAAATTGAAATTACAATAATTCACTAAAATAAATGCACTTTTCTTTAAACTATATGTATATGTATATATATATATATATATATATATATATAAAGAGATTTTTTATTAAAATGACTAATGAATTTAATATAAATGATTTAAAACTTAAAAAGTTTTATTTATAAGAAAGAGTTGATTACCTTCATCATATATAACTCGAAAGTCGTGTAGGCCCTCTAAAACATGGGATTCTGATTTTTCTGTTGAAAACTGTTTCTGCTACGATCTTGTGATGCAGAGTGAACAAACAAAAAATGAAAATCAACCACACACATTCATCCATGAACACGAAATGACGCTGCTTTTATTTTCTCTTCTATCCTTCTTCATAATGAAATCAAATATGGTAGATGGCACTTTACATCACTGCAACGGGACCATCATTACACTGCAGGGACCAGTGTGACTTTAATGCTCGAACTCTTCGAAACGTGGACCAGTCTTCAAACACTCTTCATGGGTCCCTCTTATCTTCTTTTCCTTCTTCACCTTCCCACTAAACAAAATTAAATCTTTTTTTTTTCTTTTTAATTTTCTCAGATTTGATTGGAAAAAATTAATTTTTAATCTCATATGGTTTTTATTAGAAAAAAAAAAAAAAAAGTAGAGTGGACACAAGTAGGGTTAGGTTATATTGTGGACCTTGATGTGTTTCTTTAGTTCTTGCATTCTACAGATTTTAGAAGAAATCCGATTGAGGACCAGATTTTGTGAAAGAAAATACAGCCAGACGAAGGGTTGGTGCGGATTTTACTTTCAACCCAGCAAGAATATTTTTCAATAAAGAACAAAAAGTGCTTCTATCATGACATGGTTTCACACTCTCTTGTGCAGTAGTGAGTGTAACTTTTGCCTTTGTCAAACTTGGCTCTTTTAGAAAGTGATGTATTTTGATTAAAGAAACCACTTGGTTATGAACTTATGACTATGAACATTATCAATGAAAAATGTGGTTATACACTCAAATTTAGTATTAGATAAATTGTTTTATAGGTGCCTAATTTTGTTTTTCTGGTTAATTTTCTTTTATTTTACAGTGTTTTAGTTTTTTTTTTGGCATAGTTTTGTGAGTTTTCTGACAACAAAAACAAGTCTAAATAAATATATAAATATTATCTTTGCAATAAAAAAAAAGTAAAAAAATATATCTTCAACAATTCTTTTTACAATCATATTGATTTGGAACCAAATTAATAATACCTTATATTTTTCAAAGCTTCAAATTGATTATATTTTGAAAAAAGAAAAACAGTGTAGGGTTAAAGTAGGAGGAAATAAATAATTTATGTGTTTAAAACAGCATCATTTACTATTTTGGCACACATAAAATTTAATGTTACCGAAAGTGATTTTCATGTACCTTTTCATTTTGACGTAAAAATACGTTCTTTCGTACATTTATGAAGCTATTCCAACCACACAAAGAACCAAACGTTTTGAAACTGTTTATTGACTTTGCAATATTGATTCCTTGGTTCGTTCATGGCTAGATTTTATGTGTGTGGAACTGTATTATTGTTTATGCATATGATGCAGTGAATGTAGCTATACATTCGGCTACTGTTTTCTAAAGAGTCTCTATCTCTTATCGTCTAAATAAATTCTGAATATCTTCCCAACCTATTTCCAATTGCAGATATATTTCACAACATGCAAAAAAGTATCAGCTTTTATTTGAATTGGGATGGATTTGAAAGATTGAAAACAAAAAAAATGGAAAGTAAAATTATTTCGATAAAAATAAAATATCTCCAAATAAAAAGAAAGATTAAAAGTTAACAATTAACTTGATTGATATGAAAAAAATATTAATTAAATGTTTTAATGAATAACTAAAGTATTATTAATTAAAATTTAATAAAATAAAAGTGATTAATATGAAATAGTTATTTTTTAAAGTTTATTAAATAGCTATTCAAAAATAAATGTTATGTTATTTAAATAATTAATTAGAGATCACGTATAAATTATTTTTATATATCAATTAAAAATTAAAGTTTAAAATATTAAAATACCAATAAATTATTTTTAAATTAAAAAAATAATATAATCCCAGAAATAAATTTAAAAATTATTATGTATTATATATTAGAACTTTTAAAATTGCTAAAACTCTAATTATATATTCATAAATTATTAACTAAAAACGTCAAAACAATTTAAGCAATATCTAATAAATGAGTAAAACATAAAATGATGTTATTATTTATTATTTTAATGTTACTTTTATTTATTTATTTATTAGTATATATATATATATATATATATATATATATAAGTATAATCGATTATAAATATGTAAATTAAATTGAAGGACACTACATCATGTGATCTGAAAATGAATACATTGGAATTAACATGTTAAATTGAAAGTGAAAAAATATAATGCGTATTTTTTTTATTTCATCTCTACGAACAAATTTCTTTAACCTTTTCTTTTTACTAATCAGCTTAAAGCAAATGATATAAATATAGAATTTTCTCACAAATCATTTTATTTCTTTTTTTATATATATATAATATCTGAACATATATAAATACTAATTTAAACAAGAACGTGAAAAATGAAGTTAATTTTTTTAATACAAATACACACTTAAATTTGTCATAACATGCAAGTTGAGAGTACGAAATTTGTTACATATGTGCCTATCAGCGATGCCCATGAAAAAACCTAAATACGATGTGTCAGCCACCACTTATAAACTGGCAAATTGTACTTTTATTTTGATTAACTGTCTCCATTCAGGTGCAGACTGTGAAGTTATTTTAATATATTATTGTTTAATACACTCATTATTATTAAATATTATTACTATTATTTAACACATGGATTAAGACTTTTAAAATTACAGACAAAACCAATTTGAATGACTTCGTTGAGAAGTATTTAACTAACGTAAATATCTTAAATTAAGTTCTTATGTGTTCTTATGTGCATACATGTTGGTTTGTGCCTGGACATTGTCGCTTCGTTTGATTCTGCCAATGTACTGTACCAGAGATGGAAAGAAGAAAATTTCAGATGATGGTGTTTTTTTTTTATTATTATTATTATTTTCAAAATCATGAAAACGAAACATATAGGATGATGACAGATGCACAAATCTTCCATGCAGAGACCATAATAATATGATAGGGACCACCCTATGGTGACCCAGTCCCATCACTTTCATATTCCCTCAATTTAACCCCAGAAACAACGAACCTTACAAAAAGATATCTTCAATGCGTATGCTACCACTTTCCGCTAATCAATCCCCTAAATTTCCGATATAATTAATGTGGTTAGACGAACCATGAAAAATGAAGAATTAGAAAAAAAGAAAATTGTTTTAATAAAATAAAAGAGATTGAAAAACATTAATGAATTATTGTTTTTTTAACTTCCTTGCTGTGTTCATGAACTATTAGAGTTTAGGGTTTTCACATAGTAACTTATTCAATTTACAGCATGGCCACTTTGTTTTCACCTAAAAGCAAAATTACCAACTAATAAGCGTATGTTGAACATAATCTTGTGGTGATCCTTAGCTTATCTTTAAATAAAAGTTTAGCACATCATTATGCTTGGCTTCTTGTGACTCGACAAAAATGAGGACAGCTGGGACCACATCTTAATTGATTTATTCGCTAAATGTCTATTTAAATATAATTTATTCAAATATAATATACCAAGAAAAAGAAGAGGACTATTACTCCAGTGAACTTCCTCTGAAAGAAGCAAATTACATATTCTCTTTATTTTTTTTTATTTTGTCGTATTTATCTTTTAATTTCTGTCATTTTACAACATGGTGCACGTGTCAACAACCATTTCATTTTCATGTTTCTTAATGCGATGACTTCATCATCATGAACCTTTAACCTGCATACCAGAGATTAAGAAATTAAAATATATCCGTTAAAAAAATTATGTGACTGATATTAGATAAAATTTATATCCAACTACAGTACTTATCATAAAATTGTCCATAATCTAGATATACTTACGTCACCAAAAAAAAACTCATTTAAAGGAATTTAATTATCATAAAATGGTAAGTGAAATATCGATTGGCATACACATATATTAGTATTTTATTATTTTTTTACATTACTTTTTCATTTATATAATTAGATTCCCAATTTTTAGGTTTTTACCGACACTGTATATAATTTAATGTCTATATATTTTATACTCTAATAAAACGAACTTTATGATGATATTTAAACCACTCATGAGTTCACACACCTTATCTTATTAAAAAAATATAAAGCGTTTCTCACGAATGTGGCACATTGCCATCACTATTAATATTAATATCATTGGTGGTGTTTTTTTTTTTTTCTATTAGTATTGAAATAAATAAGAAAAATAATAACAAATTTTGTGCTAGTCCAGTGGGTATCTCCGGAGTAGGTTCTACTTCTTCTTCATTCCTTTACTTTTTTTTTTCCTTCTTCTATTTGTGAAAACCCTCACCATCACGTTCCTTTTAATTGCATTTCACAAACCCTCACTTTCTTCACCAGCAACTTCTAAGTTCTCTCTCTCTCTCTCTCTCTCTCTTATTTTCTTCACGACTCACCGGAAAATCTCATCGGCGGAGGCGATGACCGACTATTTCTCCAGCTCAGTCCAATTCGGACTGAACTTATCGAAACGAGTTTACTACGGAAAAGGATCGGCTCCGCCGCAGGTGGCGGCGATGTCGCGATCGCCGGAGGGATTCCTCCCGACGGCGCCTGTATGCTACGCGGTGATAACCGATCCGGAGAAAGTCGAGAATCCGGACATTCGGAGTTACCAGCCGTACGTGCACGGCCAGTGCGAGCCTCCGGCTCTGATACCGCTTGAGCTTCACAGTGTCGCCATGGAAGTGGAGTGCTCCTTGGACACAGCGTTTGTAACGTTCACGGGAAAGTGGCGCGTGCATTGCGTGACCGGAAGTAGTACGTGTGATTGCCAGGTTGCCATACCTATGGGTGAACAGGTACAAAGATACTCAGCAATTAATTCAATACCTATCAATGCATATTTTCATTTACTTAATTCCTTTAATTTTCAAATCATTTTCATAATACAAAATAATCTGATAAAAAATTTGAATTTAACTTCTGTATACTTGCACTATAAAATCAGAAATCACGATTAATTTTATATATTAAGATAATTAATGTAAAAAACCTAAAAATTTGTAACATACAACCATTTATGATGGGATGGGAATTAGGTATACATCATTTATTTATTTTTTCTTTGGTTTGACATGAAAGTAATGAAGTAAATAAAAATATATGTACTCCGCATGTGATAATACCGCTGTAAAAGTGATGTGCTTTATGTGTGTGAAGAATGCATGTTATAAAGTGTAGAAGAAGATTGTGTGTAATTTTACATGTGTATATGGTTGGGTAAAATTGGCTATTGTATTGGCGAAGAAAATTAATGATTAAAGAGTGAAAACCAGTTCGAAAGTAATGATACTGTTACAGTAGGTTTAAACTTCAGTGTTAAATAATTTGTTGAGGAAAGTTTTTGTTGAGATTGTTCTTTAAAACACTTTTTACAAAAAAATAAAATAAAATTGTTCCGTATGATGAGCGGGTGAAATAAAAACGTTAAGTAAAAGCATTTGAGTGTTCATGGGCCTAACAAATAAGGGATGAAACAGGGAATGGCATGACAAACTGTAATTTGCCCGTTTGGTTTATTAGCCTTTTTTTCAGTTACATACTTTTAATAATTAAACAAATATGTTTTATTTTATTCATTATTTTTAAATTTGATACATTTTTTGGGAAATAGTAAGTTCGTTTGCTAAGAGTTACTTTAATGTCATTTTTTTATTATTTCTGTTAAAATTGTCAGTATCATTTGTAGAAATAACAAATTATTTTATTTTTTTAAATAATCTGATGGAGATTGTGACATAGCATTAGAAAAATATAAAAATAAAGTGGTTATTAATTATTAATAAAAATATGAATTTGATTCATGGACGGATAATGTACAAGTTTTAATATTGTTATCCAATAAATTATCATATGATAGTTAATTATTTTTATTTGGATTGTCAAAAGGATTGTATGATTAAGTAAAAGAGGAATGCTCAGCTTAATGTTTACCTTACATTTTAAAATAAATAATATATTTTTTATTTGATCTGACTATGTTAAGTCTAGTGAATTTTAGATTTTTTTTATCTACTTAAAAATAAAATTAAAAAATATAAATGTAAAAATAATTTATCTAAAAAATTAGTTAAAAAAATAAGAATACTTTTCGAAATTTAAATTGTATTAATCAAAATTAATTTTAATTTAGATATAATAATTTAATGAATAAATTATAATATATGTATATATTTTTTAATAACATGATTTTTTATATATTTTAAAATTAGTTATTATTTTATAAAATAGTTCTGATAGTTAAATTAAATAGCTTAAAAAAATATATTTTCATTTAATTTAAATTATGATTTGTTTTATCTTAATTTATTTTTCGAGTTTTGGCCTTTGACGAATTGGTCGATTTTTCAAAAATTACACTGAGAATTTTCTTATTATTAAATTACAGTGTAAACATGTTAAACTCTAAAAGTATATAAACTAAAAGTAGAAACAAGCCTCGAGTCAAACACCAAAAATTAAAGTGTTGTCTTTCTAATAAAAGATAGAGCAGAAAATAATAGACTTGGATATTTGGACCTGCGTTTATATACAAGCCATGGTGCTTTTCTAGGTAACTATAAATCCAATCATTGGAACATGAACGTTGATTAAATATTCAAACATGAAATTATTTGGTCTTTTAGACAAATCATATGTTTTAAATAACCTATAATTTACATTATATAAATAAATATATAAACAATTTATTTATTATTAAAATAAGATTTTTAAAATTTAATTTTACCATTTATTTCGAATCTAATTATTTAAAATCAAAATTCATTTTAATCATTATATTATAATATAATAAAAAACAAATATTTCTTTATTTTTTAACTAAGTGATCCTTAAATATATATATATATATATATATATATATATAATATTATAATATACTATAATATAAATAAAGAAATAGTTAGATGATACAAGAAGTAACATATTACATTTAATTGACAATAATGTTGAGACATGTTTTAGAAAATTACACATAATCTTGTAATTTTCAGATATGAACCATGCATAAAGTTTTTTAAACACAATAAAATAAGGAAAATGCATGGAAGATAGGCATAACATAACTTTTAGTTAAGTTAATAAAAGTATAACTGAAACTGATGTTAACTTTAAGGGATATTGCCACAACTATCTTTGTATTATTTTGGATTATTTAGTATTAGTTGAATGATTTTCCCCCTTTTTTAGTCAGTATTTGGATATTAATAAATAAATAATTTTTATCTTTCGTATTCATCATTTATTTCATATAGGTTTTTATATATATTATCATTTAAATATGATTTAATTATTCTATGTAAATTAAACTGTATTTTATCATAATATAAAGTTACTAAATTACATTTTAATGATAATATGTATGAATTTATTTGAATTTTATAAAATATTATAATAAAAATTATGTTAAAGAATTTTATTTTAATTTATTTGAATTCAAGGATTAAATTAAGATTTTCATTCACGGTATAAGATCAAATGAATTATTCTTCCTTTAATATTAGGAGTGAAAATAGTTTTATATTTTTTTAGCGAAAACAAATTTTCTAGGGAAGAACAAATCATGTTTGCTTTGAAAGTCAAACGATAGCATTTTCCGATCAAACAATGCCGCACATACTTAAAAACAAAAATAAAGAAACGAATAAAACATTTTTTTCTTCTTTCTAAAAGTTTGTTGTCCAGGTAATATTTTAAAATTATTAGTCAATCAGAAATTATCTTTAAAATGACATTTTTAGATAATTACTACAGAAATTAGTAATGTTTTCATATGACGAATAATAATATTAAAGACATTTAAGACTTTGATTCGTGTGTTATTAATTTTTAATGGATACTTTCTTATAAAAATATTTTCAGCTGAAAATCATTTTAGGAAAATGTTATTACCAATGAAAACATATTTAGTTACGGAGTTATTTTGGTATGATCAAAGGGGTATTAAGTTTTCAAAGAATACTTAATGTATCATCTATACTGGTAAATTTTAGACCACGGTTCTATGTAACGAACACAAAGGTTACTAAGGATTTGTTTAAATACTCTTTCAAAAACATTTTTATAGTTTCCAAAAAATATATAAAAATAATTATTTGCAATAGTAAATGTTTCGTTGTTTATGATAAGAGGCTGCCGCGAGTATACTCTTTGAAGAATTATGAAATGTTTTGTTGTTTCTTAGATTTATGAAATTGCATGCCAATATTCTGTGCAACTTGATATGCAGTTTTTTCATGAGTTCTCAAGTTAATATGATGTGGCTAACAGGGTTCACTTCTAGGTCTAGAGGTTGATGGTTCTGGAAGAACTTATCATACTGAATTGATCTCCCTGAAGGATGAAAAGGATAAGGATAAAGTGGCCAAAGCTAAAGATGGATACTTCTTGAAAAGCCATATATACACCGTCAAGATTCCACAGGTTATTATTACATAGCAAAAATAACTTCATTATTGATAGTTATTAATGTGTACAGCCTGTTTATTTGAAAAATCGGAAATATTGGGTTGCCAATCCAAACATCTCGCCCAACAATTGATTTTATTAATTGAATAATTATATAATATTATATTAATCTTAACTTGTATAATAAATGTATTGGTCGTCAAAATACCAGTGATCTTGAAAAATAATTCATGTCGTGCAGTTTAGAGGAGGCTCCGTGTTTTCAACTAAGATCAGATGGTCCCAGAGAATATTATTTCATGATGGCCAGTTATCTCTCTGTGTCCCTTTCAGCTTTCCGGCATACGTCAACCCAGCTGAAAAAAGAATTTCCAAAAAAGAGAAGATATTTTTGAAAGTGAATTCTAGTTCTGCAACGGAAGTGTTATGCAAAACCACCAGTCATCCCCTGAAGGTAAAACTTATCGCGCTATTACAAAGTTCAGTTTGGCCACCTTTACACTTGAAGAACATTATCCTTACGACTTTCCAGGAACTACTGCGCCAAGCTGGAAAATTAAATTTATCATACGAAGCAGAAGTGTTAGCATGGTCAAGTACAGACTTCAGTTTCTCGTACTCTGTAAGACCTAGAAGCATTTAATTTATTAAAATTATTTAAAGCTATTCCATTAGCAACAATGAGTGGTTTCTGAACCATAGATATTCAGAATCAGACATGAACATTATCTGTGCCATAAGAAATAAATTATTAACTTAATAGTAGTGTTTTTACACAGGTTTCTTCAAATGACATATTTGGAGCTGTTCTCTTGCAATCTCCATTCTTGCGTGATTTTGACGAAAGAGAGATATTTTGTTTGTATCTTTCCCCGGGAAACAGGCAGGGTAGAAAGGTTTGTTGCAATATTAAGATATGTCAATATTTTTCTAATATTGTGGTTGCTTTAACATACATAAGCATAAATGCATAATGCTTGTCTTGCAGCTTATGTGGGTGCTTGACTGTTTCAAATTTCCAATCATGATGCCTTTACTTTTCAAGCGCATTTATAATTGAGCGTTCTGTCACTTGATAGGTTTTTAAAAAGGATGTGGTGTTTATAGTAGATATAAGCGCAAGCATGAAGGGAGCTCCTCTCGATAACACAAAGAATGCCCTACTGACATCACTCTCTCAACTTAATGCACAAGATACATTTAACATTATAGCTTTCAATGGGGCGCTCTACTTATTTTCGTCATCAATGGAAACAGCTACGGAGGAAGCAATTTTAAATGCTACGAAGTGGATTGACACCAATTTTATTGCTAATGGTGACACTAACATCATGCTTCCCTTAACACAGGTAATTCTTGCTCTGAAAATTTCAAAGTAATATGCAAAACATTGTTTTTTTTTTTTTTTCCAAAGACGTGTTAATCAAGAGTTTTCTATTATCTTGGTTTTGTCAATTCAACTACACTAATGAATGTATTATCGTGTCTAAGAAGGGAGATGTAAAGTCTAAGGGTCACCGTATTATTTTTCATTTAGCTCTTTTATTTAATTATTTATATATTAAATTCGTTGAAATAACAAACACGAGTAGTAAAAGTCTCACATTGAACAGGGAAATATTGAGTAATATATAAGTAGGAATAACATAAAAGTATGAAGAAGTCATATATAAGAAAGTTAGATATTGGGTTGAATGTAGTATTAAATTTACTTGTGTAATTTGTACCGGACAAAAATGAGCTCATTCTTATTTTGTTTTGCATTCTCGTATTTGTCTGTAATCTACATGTTTTCTTTATGGCTAAAAGTCTACAACATTATCTTTAGTACATTTCACTTTGAGTCTTTGAGAGTTTCTAGGATTAACAATTTCATTTTCCTTACCTGCATCAAGACTTGGTATCGGTGTTTGATTTGATTGTAATGTTCAACGTAAACATAAAAGGTAGATTTATTGCTGGTACGGTATATTTTCCTTTTAATGACCATAACATTCTACGCGGTTTCTAACGATTTGTATCCCGTGCAAAACTTTTGGAATTTGAATCCTAAATATGTATTCTGCTCTATATTAGGCAATGAAGCTACTTGAGAAATCAATTGATTCGGTCCCTCTAATTTTTCTCGTTACTGATGGGGCTGTTGAAGATGAGAGAGAGATATGCAATTTTGTGAAAAGCTATGTCTCAAGTGGGCAATCGGTTCGAACACCGCGCATATGTACCTTTGGCATAGGCAAGAATTCTTCTATTTATACTCCCGAAAATAGTTTATGGGATATCATTAATTGGCAATGTTTAGTCTTTGATAAGTTTTTTACTTTAGCTATGTAGCCAAAAATGTTTTTGTTTGTGCGTGAAGCTAAAAATGTTTTTAAACTTAATTTAGTGTCTGTTTGTGGATATAATTTAAGAGTGTTTTTTTTTTTGTACTAGAAATATGCATTTTTTTTTTCACTAAAGAAAACTGTGAAAAGTACTTCTTACTCTGCATCCGAAGACGCTCTTAGGCATGTTTTAAACTGAAGAATTGAATGCTTTGACTTGCTGCTTAATTTGTCAAGTTGAGAGTGTTATGAAATAAATCAAGAAGGTTCGTTCCCCATAAAAAGGTAGTGCAAATGGGGGTTGGTCGATATTGACAAGTTCTTGCTTGGTTTTGAATTACCGGTGGACTTTTATCCGTAGGTCATACGTACCTTTTTGAGTGTTGAGCAAAGCCCCCGACCTTTGTTTAGAGAGCTGTGTAATTTTTTTCAATTACTAATTATTGGGCTTGTGACTATTATGATGTTATCAGTCTGAATGAACATATAATCTTCTATTTATTTCCTATTGGCATAATTTTGAACATATATTTTTTTCAGGTTTATATTGTAATCACTACTTCCTGCAAATGCTAGCACAAATTGGGAGGGGCCACTATGATTGTTCTCATGATTTAGGTCAGTTTTTTCCCTTGCCCTGTCAACTTTAGATCGCAAGTTGAAGTTTGCGCAAATTTGAGTCTTGAATTTGAAAAAAAGAAATGTTTCGTAATATGTGTTGAAAGTCACCAAAAATGCTAATCAGTGTGTTTAGACAGATGAACCATAGAACTATTGGAGACGAATTTGGACAAATTCACTCGAAAACTTGCTCAAGAGAATAGGATCGTCCAAAGTTTATAATGAGTATTTTGACTATATTTCTAGCTAACACGGGACATCTTAACTAACATTAAACATCTTAGCTAACATTAAAACTAGATTGATTATGATAACAAGTTGATATTAGTAAAAGGATTGGCCTAACCCATTTTCAAAAACTAGTTCAAGAGATTGAGCTACGCTTAATCCATAGATATATGAAGTTTTGTTAATCTCTCTTTTTTCATCTTGTCCAGATTCAATTGAATTTAGAATGCAAAGGCTATTCAGTACAGCTTCATCAGTTATAGTTGCTGATGTAGCAATCGAAAGTTTAGAAGGTCTTGATTCCATTGAGGTAGATATCCAATAAAGTATTATCCTTAAAGATCATATATGCTGATATATATAGTTTACTTAAAAATCATATTTACATGTTACATCTATTTGATGTTTAAACTATATTATGATTATTTATTGCAGTTATTTCCATCTCTAATACAAGATATATCATTTGGAAGTCTGTTGATCCTATCAGGCAGATACAGTGGAACTTTCCCTGAATTAGTTAAAGTTACTGGTATTTTGGCAGATATGACTAACTTCGTAGTGGACCTTAAAGTTAAAAGAGAGAAGGATATACAGCTCAGTAATGTAATATCTCACTCCTAAGGCTTAACCATTTATTTTTCATATCTGATTGTGATTTTTCCCATCTTAGCAAATGGGAAATGAATATTACCGTGCAACTCATGCATAGCTCCTTCTACATACTAACACCGTATGTAACACTGTTCTTCCATTAACATGGCTTTGCTCTTTACTTCCAATGTTTCACTCAACACTATTTTGATTGGGTAGGCAGTTAGTGCCTTAAAGTGGATTGGCTTTTAGTCATTCTTTCAATCTATGTCGCATCGTAATTTGAACTTCAATTCTTAATCCCTTGGAACATTTATCAGTCGAAACTTATACTTATCCTGCATTATTGGTTTCTTGCTTGGACATGTGATATGTATTTTATGTCATTGAGAATGTAAGTTCTTCAAGATGCACAAAGAATCATTTGAAAAGTTACACAGAATAATTTGATAGATCCTTTAAATAGAGTGATTGCTGAATGCATACTGAACAATGCGCTGCAACGTGATTTGATAAAATTTTGAAATTCTCTCCAGGTCCTTTCAAAGAGACATATAGACATGGTGACTGCACAAGCCTGGTTATTCAGAAATGAAGATCTGGAGGAGAAGGTTTGTCTATTATGTGTCTCTGTGCACATTGAATTGAATTTTATTTTGAAAACAAAATAGAAAAAGGTGAGAATGGACCAGTTTATATAAGGGCTCATAATATATTTTGAACCCATTTTTTTTTCTTAAATCCATCTAACAATCACTTTTAGATTTTTTTATTATTTATTTATCTTATTTCATTCTCTTTCTATTTTTATTAATAAAATAATAATTTAGAGTTATTTAGAAGATTTTTTTATACTCTAAATTTTTTTCCAACATATAAATATTTTTAAAATATTATTTTAGTTGATTAATAAAAAAAGAATGAAATAAAATAGATAAATAATAATATAAAAATAATTACAGGATCAATATTTAAAAAGATGGGTAGTTAAGCATTTATATATGAAGACTTTTTTAAACAAAGTGGCACTGATTTTATGCACAACATTCCCACAAACAAAGAGTTGCAGGAACGTAGGACTGGAGAGTGCTGGATTGAAAAATGTTTTTGGAAAATACGTATCTGCTTTCTAACTGTGATATATTATTGTTAATGTTAAAAAATTTCATCTTTCATATTATTAAGTTGAAATTTAAATACGAGTTAAAGTAAAAATAAAAAAATTTGAAGAAGATAATAAAAAATAAGATCCATAGATCAAATATTGTAAGATTTTAAATTAAAGATATTTTAAATGATCTCTTCGAATTTTTTCCTCTTTAATAATTCTATCTCCTACTGTTCGTTTGATTGGGGGAGGGAGTGGGGATGAATAAGAGACGAAGAGAGTGGGCGGTTTGGTAGGGTGACGTGGGAAGAAATAAAGGAAAAAGGCCCGAGAGATATGCTCTCAACTGTTCGTTTGATATGCTTTGAACTGTTTATATTATATTTAGTGTTTTGCTGCACGAATCATTTATAAAAAAATGGCAACTGCTCTCTAATAGGTTACAAAAATGAGTATTCAAAATAAAGTCCTGTCAGAGTATACCTGCATGAACATGGTTCTAGTACAGAGCGATGAAGGGAAGAAAGCACCTGAACAATTTATGTTACAAAAGGTAGTCCTTTGCATTGGAATAAATAATCTACTTCGTAAAATATCAGAGTATTTCCATTTTCCATTTGCATCATCTATCTGAATCTCTAAGTGCCTAACAAACAGGCCTACAACAAACTTAGCTTCCAGCGGTTGGAGCTCAACAAGCAGAAGTTATTCCTTGGAGGACTGAGTCTTGGATTTGGTGACTTGAAAGCAACAGCTGAGAACTTACCACCAGCTATAAAAGAAGCAAAACCACCTGAAGGACTACTGGGGAAGGCTGCTTCCAACTTTTGTGGCCGATTGGCTGATACCTGTTGTGGCATGTGTCTGCTGCAGACTTGCACTTTTTTGAATGACCAGTGCACCATTGTTTGCACTCAACTTTGTGCAGCCTTGGCCTGTTTTGAGTTAATCAAGTGCTGCGTTGAGCTCTGCGAGTGTGATTGTTTGTAGTGAGATTATATATGCTAAGTTAAACATAAAGAAACTGTTTAATAATACTAATTGTTAACACTGTAAATATATATATATATATATATATATATATATATATATATATATATATATATATATGTATAAGTTCTTGTGCTATTATGAATAAGATGTTTACAGCTATATATTCTATCAATTCCTCGTCTATAACAGGAGAAATGAAAAAACGATTGAATCAAAAGGGATTTGACTATTTTATTCCCAGATGGCCTTGAATTTTTATCATAAAACAAAATAGGCGCAAAGGGAAATAGTAAACTTGTTAGTTATTACCTAATCAGCAAATGAAAAAATTTCCCTTGCTAATCGTGATATGTTGACAGTTAAACATTAAACTAGAATTACAGTGCTTATTTACATTTTCTTTTTCCGTTTGATTTTTTAATACCATTAATGTATGAATTAAATCGTGTTGAAATTTTAAAGATTTCTGTTTCAATTTACTATTATTTTTAAAATTTAAAATAATATTAATTATCCACTTTTTTTATCTTATTTTAATTAACTTACATGTATGTGTTTAGTGTGATTGAAATGTAAAAGTAGACAAAATAAAAAGTTTCATAATTATTTTATTAGTTAAAAAAATTATTATGTTTCATGATTAAAAAAAAACTTAAACTGACAAAAAAAATAACCGAGGAAGTATGTATATATTACAATTAAAATTTTCTTACCGGCAATAAAGACTTTAGTTTAAATGAAATTATTTTTCCATGTCAGCAAAACATGTTGCCTTTCCCGTATCATACAAAAATAAAAGTTTCGTTGGATGCTAGTCTTTGTTCACCAGTTTCGGATTCTGCTGCTACTTATTTGTACTTCGTTAAATAAAGGTGTTGATACCTTTGTTGTTTATTTATATATATTCTATTTTGCTGATTAAAAGAAAAAAAATCTCCACAATAGAAAATTCTCTCTTGATTTTTAGCCAATCAATGATCCAGATCTTGCAGCATTATGTCTGTCGACCATTTTGATTTTTTTTTACTATTAAATTTATAATTTAAAAATAATATCATTCTATTAATATTACTTAATTAATATTATTTTCAATTTTTTTAATAACATATTATTAAATTTCTAATAAAAATTAATATTATTATATTAATATTTATTTTATTACATAATTTTCAACTTCATTAATTAATATAATTTTAAAATTAAAATAATATTTATTAAATATAATAATTAAATATAAATATATATTTTTTATAAAAAATAAATACATAAATATTATATATATTTAAAATATTTTATTTATATAATTATATGAAATAAATATATATTTTTAAATAACATAAAAATATATTTATATAATTATATTATTAATATATTTTTATAAAAATAATAAAATAAATATATTTAATATATATAATGTTTAAATATTTATTTATATTTTATAAAAATATATAAAAATATATTTTTATAAAAATATATTAATAATATAATAAAATATATTTATTAAATTTTATTATATTTATAAAAATATAAATAAATATTTAAACATTGTATATATATATATATATATTAAATATATTTATTTTTACTATATTTATAAAAATATATTAATAATATAATTATATAAATATATTTTTATGTTATTTAAAAATAATATTTATATTTATTTCATATAATTATATAAATAAGTTTTTTAAAATATATATAATATTTATATATTTATTTTTTATAAAAATATATATTTATATTTAATAAATATTATTTTATTTTAAAAATTATATTAATTAGTGAAGTTAAAAATTGTGTAATAAAATAAATATTGATAAAATGATATTATTTTTGTATTATAAATTTAATAATATATTACTAACAAAATTTAAAAATAATGTTAATAAAATAAATATTAATAAAATAATGTTATTTTTAAATTATAAATTTAATAAGTATGTTAAAAAAAAAATCCGCAGATTTTGGCTCCAGAGGATATAAGTACACCAGTACCACCAGGTATCTAGCTCAGTTTCAACCGCACATACATAAACCACCCACGTGCTTTCTCCTTTTCAAAATTTATTTTTCTTTTTCATTGCTTAACCCATGATTGGGCCGTTCAGAATCAAAAGAAGACCAAGAGGAAATAAGAAAACTATTGCGCACCGTTGATGATGGAATTCAAAACAATAAGAAGCATGCAAAACTCGTTACTTTTCCCTCTCTATAGATTGTAATTTTTGTTCACCGTTGTCGCTTCTTTCAGCTTCGCTCTGCAAATGAGACACCCTTTTGTTGGATTCACCAGAATACTTGTTTTCGTCTCTGCTTTCTGGTAGGCTGCGAATTCAGTACTAGACCCTAGGGTTTCAAATAATTTTAATTGGGTAATCAGTGGACTCCCTGAAATAACAAATATAACATTGGATTTCCTCGGTCTGAATATAGTAAACATAACATTGCTATGTTGAATATCCTTGTTCCCATGTCTATAATTTTGAACTTTTTGGCAACTGAATTTGGGAAAGGAATATCTGTGCAACCTATATTTTTATGGTTCGGATAAATTAATAATTCTGAAATTCCTGCTGCCCGGTTTGTATTATATAATAGCTTTCATAAATTTATCCAGTAATGTTTGTTACATGATAGTTCTTCTTGATGATTGAGATGTATGCGTGTTTTTCATATATCAAATTATTGATTTTTTACATATGCATTGCACGAGCTAACTATTTCTAAATTTAGAGGCTGTTTCTCTGCGTATGTAATTTCAGGTTGATGTACTTAAAAGTGGTCAACTAATGAAAAATAATGATAAATAAATTCACTTTGTGATCTTTTCCAAAGTTTCAGTTCTTGTACCCAAGAATGTATGGAAATGGAGAGAACTTTAGCGATTATAAAACCAGACGGATTACTTGGTAACTACACTGATGACATCAAGAAAACAATTATAGAATATGGTTCCAGCATTTTTAAAGAAAAGATTGTTCAACTTGATGAGGCCACTGTAGAACAGTTTTATGCTCAGCACTCTTCAAAAAGTTTCTTTTCCAGACTTATAAAATACATGACAAGGTATTAGCTATCTCATTCCCTTGATTGTCTTGATGCATGACGATGATATATTAATAATTTCGTTTCCTCGGCTGTTTTGTCCACCTCATTACATCGATGTTTGATGTTTGTTGTATTGCCTAATTGCAAGACCCACTTTTACTTAGTTTTATTTGCTTGTCAATAGTAAAATTACTTCAATTTTTGAGCTCAATGATATTCATTTCATTATTTTCCCTTTATGTCTATAATCTTTATTCATTCAGTACACCATTACTTGCACTAGGTCAAGATGAAAGCCAAATTCAGTTAAGTTTCATCATTATATAGGCCATCTTTAACTTAAGGGTGTCAGAAGAAATGAAGCTACTGAATACAGGATGACATTTGCGGTAAATGATGTCATGCGGTGCAGGTTTATCCTTTGTGGAGAATACTTTTTTTATACTACAAATGGGTTAAGCACACATTCTGTAAAGCATAACCTATTAGTACCAATCACATGGAGGAGTTAGGAAATTGTAGCCTTCCTTTTTCTTGTTTTAACTTTTTAGTCGGTACAGAAGAAACTTTGAGGGTTTTTTCACCTTGATTATGTACTGTGATTGAGGAAATTCTTGATACTACTGTTGCCGTTGATGGTTCATCACTTTGATTTGTGTTCACCTCACCATTGATCATTGTAATCAATCATATTTGTCATTTACTTCCCTTTCTGCATGCTTAGTCTTTTGTTGTCCTATAAATCTTTTCTTCTGCTTATCTGCAAAAATTATCAGTGGACCAGTGTTGGTCATGGTTTTGGAGAAGGATAATGCTATTGCTGATTGGCGCGCTTTAATGGGCCCTACTGATGCCAGCAAGGCTAAGATTACTCACCCTCACAGGTCATATAATGTTACTAATCTTATTACATTGCACATGCGAACTTTATTACTTCAAAATGTATCAAGTTGAGCCCCTAGATTCTGTCATTGTGGATGAGCAATTTTATTAAGCTTGATGATCATGGCATCTTATAGTGAACTAGTTACTATTTTGTGCAGTATCAGAGCAAAATGTGGATTGGATATAGAAAGGAATTGTGTTCATGGTTCAGACTCTCTCAAATCTGCACAAAGAGAGATTCCATTTTTCTTCAAGGAGCTGTCCTCAGGTCAATAATTTTTATTTTATTTTTAAGCAAAAATAAATAAAGTACTCTTTGGACACTAAATTTGTTATATAATCAGATGCATTTTTGCAATATACACCACATGGGGAATATAGAATTCTTACGATGAAAGGAATTACTTATCAGTTAAACTGTTGGATGCATAACTAAAAACTTCCTTTTAGAACAATGTGAAGATAATTGTCTTTTCAAAAGAAAATGAAAAAAAAGGGCACTGACGTCTTGACATACTGATGTTATGGATCAACTTGCTAGTATAAACATCTTTCTTAAATCATAAGCAACTTAGCAAGATGGTTCTGTTTCAAATTCAAATTATCATATTCGTATCCTCTTTTTTATTCCCTCAAAATGTGTGATAATTGCCGCAAAGATCTTTACATACTTTGCCTCTCCAAATCTTTGACAGATGTGGCTGCAGAGCATGATGAATTGTAGCTGGTACAACTTTGAAGCATAAACACACCTTTATTTGTATTTTTTGTGTGTAACATGAAGAATTGTACAACAGAAATGTTTGTTAATTGAAGAGGAAAAAATTATGAAGTGACACGAAAATGATCTATTCAAGTGTTTGTCCAATCACTTTGTGTATTCTCTCCTACCAATGTATGGTCATCAGGTTCAGTCAGGTCTTCAATTGATCTTTTTGCTTGTTTGCCTACTACTTTTATATGAAACAATCCTTTGACTGAGATTACAAGGATCAACTTCATTTGTTGCCACTCATGTTTTAATATAAAACTAGGACAGCACCCGTGATGTGCAAGTACCAATGATATAGTATAAAAACAATAGAATATACGTTGAAGGTATATAAAACCATTGTTGGTCTCACTAGTGCAAAAAGGGGCTTTTACGTCAGGTATTTAGGGCTTTTTACGTCGTATTTAAGTCCGACGTAAAAGCGGGAGACGTAAATTTACGTCGGACCCTTTTACCCGACGTAGATTTACGTCAGTTATGAAGATACGACGTAATTTTGCGTGGCATATACAATAAACAGACGTAAAAACCTTTTCAATTTAAAAAAAAAAACAGAAAATTTACGTCGCATACGGTATATACGGCGTAAATTTACGTCGCATATTGGTATATACTGACGTAAATTTACGTCGCATATACTAATATGCGGCGTAAATTTACGTCGCATATGGTATATGCGGCGTAAATTTACGTCGCATATTGGTATATGCGACGTAAATTTACGTCGTATATACCAATATGCGGCGATAAATTTCTTGTTTTTTTAAATTGGGTTTATTTACTACGTTTTACAACTAAAACCTGCAAAAATTACAACCAGACAGAGTCGCATGAGCTTTTCTTTTGCTAGTAAATTAAAAATATAATATTATATAATTCAAACTACATAATAAAACAAAATAATACAAACATACAAACTAAAAAATCTATTACAAACTAAGCTACCTATACAAACTAAGCTACCTATACAAACTAAACTAAACTACATAATACACACAATATAATATGAACAAGAACATAAAAAATAATGTACTAGAATTGTAGAACAAAAAATTTTGCCCATTGTTCTCTAATTTACGTAATCTCAGTTACGGTAATGGAGATGGATCTTGAAATACACGAAACATGAATTTGACTCTTGTAAGCATGCAACATGAATAAAGTTAAATAAACTTAACTAATGTTAAAAGTAATTACCTCAGATCAAGAATCAATTAAACGCTACAAACTATGGCTCTCATCCAATACATTACATAGTAACCACATTCAAACGAGTCGGTTGCTTATTACATTGAAATGATGAAAAAAACATAATATTATTTTCAAAATTGAAATATAAACAATAATTATGGTATTCACTTATATAAATAAGTTTCTAACCTTAGGATAAATGAACTGTGCTGATGAATGTCTTTGTTCTAGGTTTTCACTTAGAACATTAGTTCCGGACACGATTCTAAGTGAAAAAAAGTCATATATTATTCAATATGTATTCACAATTTAAAAACATAATTAATGAATAAAAGATAAAGTTACCCTTGTAATAAGCTTTTCATTTCTTGACTCGGTTTCAGATGTAATGAACAAAACCATACCACGGTGTAATCCGGGGTATGATTACAATTAGCTGCCAATGGGACCTACATTGTATGACATAAAAATTAGTTACAAAAATATAAATTAAAATACAAATCAAAATACTAACCCTTCAATGTATGGAGCCAAATATATATGTCTTCTTGAGTCACTCATCCATGTTTGCATATATTGTTGGATTCCAACCTTTGTATTTCAGATTTTTGGATGGATTGAGGCTCAATAAATCCGTATACTTCGGATTTTTCTTGTTCCACACTCAAATTGTCAAGGTACCTAAAACAATTAATTATAAGTTGAATATAATTATTATAATCTTAGAAACATAAATGAAAATGACTTACATTGCCCACAATTGTATGATGGAAATGTTTAACATGCAATTTCCCCCAGCAATTTCTAAAGCATCGGGCAAGGAAATGTACAATGGAACACTGGAATTGTCAATTCCAAACACTCTAACAACATAACTGGCCATGAACTATGTTTACTACTTAAATTTCCATAAGGATTCATCCCATCTGTAGCTAATCCAATTCTCAAGTTTCTTGGCTCTGCACCAAATTCTGGAAAGGTTTCATCAATCCTTTTCCATTGTGGAGAATCGAGTTGGATGTCGAAGAAGATTGTCACATTTTCTACCATTTGCATGCCATGTCAAGTTTCTTGCATCTTCTTTTATGGCAAATAATCTTTTAAACCTAGGTATAATTGGCAAATACCATAACACCTTAGCGGGGGACCATCTAGTTCTTCCTCACCACTACTTTCCTCAACTTTGGTTTTGAACCTCGACAAACCACATGTCGGACACATCTTTAATTTAGCAAAATCATTTCTGTACAATATACAATCATTAGGACATGCATGTATTTTCTTGTACTTCTAAACCCATTGGACATAATATCTTCTTTGCCTCATAGTTACGAATAGGTAATGTATTATCTTGGAGTCTTCGGAAGCATCTCCTTAACAACTCCAATAATTCGGTGAAACTTTTATCAGTCCATCCATTTCTTGCTTTTAAAGTAAACAATTTTAAAGTTGCTTGATAATCTTGTAAAACTACATCCTATGTACAATTGTTGCGCAAAATCAGATTTCAAAGAATCATATAGATGTGCTTTCATAAAATGTTCTTCACCGATATCACGTATCATATCCTCTAGATTATCATCCATCCCTTCATCAAAATTGTGCGTAGTTGACACGAGTTGGGATGTCTAATATTTCTCCATGCCATGTCCATATTGTATAACTCTTAATAATACCATAAACAAACAAGTGATCACGTATATCCTCAAGTTTATGACGAATTTGATTCAAACAACGAACACATGGACAATAATATGTCCCTTTCATAGCTTTTCCATTTTCACTAGCAAATTTCAGAAATTCCTCAACTCCCTTTTCGTACTCTTCACTAATACGACGTGCATTCATCCAACTTCGATTCATATTATGTTATAAAGTTTCGTCACTCCTAAAGATTTAAAAATTATATGTAAAAAAAAATTAATATACAAACAACAAATGTATACCAACAGCACGTTCAACAACGATGGAGTGTGTAAGCCAGAATGCACTCAAACAAATAAACAAATAAGCTGCATTCCAATAACAATCCAGTGGAGACATTCATACTATAACGTGATTGAGATCCCCAAAAACAATCACGGATTCAATGTAAACATATAGCGATGACAATGAACACTAACCTCGAGTGTAGACGAACGATTTCAAACTCGAATCCAATCGGGGAGAAAGATGAAGTTCGTCAAATGACACGACAATGTAGATGTTTTTCACTTGTAAAGCTGCTCGCAAATGGTGTGCGAGAGGTAGGCTGTTGTCGTTGTTCTCGTCGTCGTTCTCAAAAACCACTGGTTGCGCGAGACGAGGAAGTGGGTCGGGATGGAAATAAAATAGACTTTTTACGTCGCGCGGTGTAGTAAGCGACGTAAAAAGTCATCTTTACGTCACACTGGGAGGCGCGACGTAAAAGATGGCCTTTTACGTCGCGTACGGGGGCGCGACGTAAAAGCTAAGGCTTCTACGTCGCGTCCCCATGCGCGACGTAAAGCCATCTTTACGTCGCGCCTCCCAGTGCGCGACGCAAGATGACTTTACGTCTCTATTGGGGTGTGCGACGTAAATTTTTTGTCCCATATTTACAAAATTGCCACCGCGTTTTATTTACGTCGAATATACGTGCATGCGACGACAATTGGGTGACGTAAAAGCCATATTCTGCACTAGTGTCTTTTGGCAAGCATACCAATAGTCAACTGTAATATAATAATTTTTTTAGTGAAAGTGTCAAATCCCATGATGAGTGAGTTCAATTAAAACAAATATTTTATCTCAAACAGCATATATACAAAGATATCCATTTTAATGATTTATAATAAATTTGTATGAAAATAATATAATGGCACGAGATTAATTAGAAAAGATTCAAAAAGAAAAGTTGGGATTGAGTTTCATCCATCTCACTCTTCTATAATCTGGATGAATATAAACATATAACATCTGAATTTACCAATATTGATGCAACACTCAATAATCATTTATATTAATTCCTCACGTATAAAATTTATAAGACCGGTTCTCTGGATATCGATTTCTCACATTTCCAATCAACTGTCCAACATTCTTTTCAAATATTAAAAGCAATTGATATACTGAAATCTATTCCTAGCATCACAATAGATTAAGTATTTTTGTTTAGATCAGATTTTCAAAAACACTTTCCAGTCAAATCTAAAAATCACATTCACGAATCTATTGATCAGATCAACTCAAGCATTAAGAGCAAAACAAAAATGTCAAGATTGAATAGAAACAAAAAAGTTATATATAGATATCACTAGATTTCATCCGAGTTTGAATCGATTACATTAAATCCCAAAAGAAAAGATTAGTCACTCATGTTAGCCATTGACATCCTAAGAGAAGAAGAAAAACCCTAAAGCTAAAACTGGAGAAGAATTTTCCCTAATCTTGTCAAAATAGGCACACCCCTATTTTTCTCGTCACCTCACATTCTAAACCACAAAGTATATATACTGCACGAGTTCTCGCTTAAGCTAAATTATTCTCGCTTAAGCTAGAATAACTTTCAAATTGATAACTCTCTGGACGAATCTCGCTTAGGCGATACCATTCTAACTTGAGCGTTGTGGTAGGATTTCATGTATTTTTCCTTTGTTTCTTCCTTTCTTCTTCTTCTTTTAGGCTTCTTTCTCCTTCTCTCTTAATTTACCCGAAACATATACAAAATGAGGATCAAATGATTTTCTTTTTAATTAAAACTCGAAAACATATTATTATATTTAATCATTCTTAAATTACGGGAAATTGATACCAAATATAGAAAAGTTAAAATAATAGTATCATTATTCTATATGAAAATATACTACTTTTTTACACTTATAATTATGTAACTATTGGAAAACAATATATAACAATATATTATGTGAGAATAATAATTAACTACAGACCTCAAAGTTAAGACTAAATATATAACAATCAATTGTCTTAAATTTTTAAATAAATAGCATACCATAAAATAGAATAATGAACATGTAAGATTCGAAAATGAAAATTTGGATTGATTTTCTGGAAAGAGAAAATGCATTAAAAGTTTGTCTACAAGGTGTAGATGTGTTCATAGAAAATACATTAGAGATTTCCATAAGATGTAGATACTCCTGTATAGGTTTGAGAGATGTACTTGAAAAGAAAATACAATACTTATAAACTTTGAGAATTAATAATATATATTGAAAAAATTTGAATTAAATATATTGCAACCCGTTGTTTTTAAATCTTAAGTATATATATGCTAGTTAACATGACAAAACTAAGAAAGGAAAGGTGGTAATGAGTTGTAAGAGATGTTGCAGAATAGGACGTGATCATTAGTTGAAGAGTTATAAATTTAGTTTGTTCGTATTCATTATTTTAAAATTAATCCTTAGTGTGATTTGAATCCTTTAAATATACAAGAGAAGTTTAAATACGAAGAATTCATTTAATAAGTTAATATCTCAATGTGAGAGACTAATTAAACTTGTGCACATGGACATTACTCTATTAAGAAACTTGTGCACATACTTTTCAAGTTTAGTAAACTTTGGAATGTGGATTTGGCAAAGGAGGTCCTAATAGAATGGGAAGAATGGTTGTTTTCGAGAGGCCATTGAGCTTACAAGAAACAAGGGGGGGTCACAGTTTGATTACTTTGATGGTCACAATTCGCGGATTCGTGCTTGGACATTGCAACATAACGAATAAACATTTGCTTACTGTTCCACAATTATGTACCTATGTATCCATCAAACTTCATTAATTTAGTCAAACTATAATCATCACCATTACCTGGTGGATGCATGTCCACGACTCCAACAGTGCGACCCATTGCCCTTATTTTATAGGGAGAGGTGCATGGGTTTCCAGAATTGGTAAGCCGTATTGTAGGTTACTCTACTTGGAATCCATTGCCAAATCCCATACATCTAGTACATTCAATACCCCACGTGCCCTTCCTTCTAGTGGCACCAACTTTTCCTTCTTCTTCTTCTCTCTATTCATTCCATTCCAACTATGCTTCCATCTTGGTTCATGTGAAGTGACTTTCCCATCCTTAAGGCGATTCTTTTAAGTGCTTATCTTGTCCCTTCCATCCATCTCGAGGACTCCTTCATTTTCTACATTCTACACCAGTTTTTTTAGGTCAACGTACAATCTCATGACGTACTCGATGACCTACAATTTCCTTTCATTTGCATGATATCTTTCACAATGCCATCTTTCTCACTCAAAATTTTGGGGCTAATCTAAACCATTGCTTAGAGGTTGAACAGGGTACACGTCCTGTAGTAGAGGTTTGTGGTTAGGGATGCCATGCACATTTTTGCATATTGGTTACGTAAGAGTTGTGTTCACCAATCAAAAGGTTTACATTAACTAAAACCACTTGCCTTTTGTACCCCAATGTAATTTTAACACCACACTAACATTTAACCAAGGAAATTGTGCTCATGCTTTGTTAAATATCAAAATGTAGTTTACTTCTTTTTGCAATCCAGAAGATTAAAATAATGCTTGAGAGGTCTTGCTACACGTATCAATTGTAAAAATCGATACATTTTGATATTTCCAATTCTTCTTCTACATATATTATAATTAAAAAATCAATCATTTGTAAACACTCACTTTTTCCTTTCATCTCTTCTAGTTTTCTTACTTAACAATGTTCTTCTTTTATCTTATTTCTCTGAATAATTAAATCGGATTGAACCGTGAAAAATGCCATTTACCATAGTCAAATGATGAAATTTTAATTATCATAATAAATAAACTTATTATATTGATTAATAAGTAAATGACTGATTATTTTTTTAACTGACATAACAAGTTGTTTAAGGTCTCTTTACATTCCTCTGTCACTTTCTTCCCCATCTTTTTAGTTTCAATGTATAGAATAAATGTAAAAATTGAATTGTGGATATGAATTCCAAACTCACTTAGCAGTAACAAAGAAAAATGAAACTGGTGCAAGGAAAATGTATTGTTAAGTAGGATTAATGTGTTAAGTAGTATTTAGTTTGAGAAAAAGGGAGAAAGTAGAATAATTGTTGAAGGAAGAGAAGAATGAATGGGAAAGTACAAGTAGTCAACCTGACCCCTTTTGTACACGCGTTCATCCGACACAAGCTGATGGGAATAGCGTTCAGCCGCGATGCCAGGGTGGTGCTGCCATGCACAAATTATTACAACACAATCCACCCTGTTATCACTTCTCCATAATCTCAACCACTTTTTACTTATTTATATCTATATCAGTAACATTAATTACGCTTCAAGATTAATCTGAAATGGGTAATCTAAAATCACTTTAACAGTTTCCAAGTGGAACCTCACACTGGTTTGCATGTCCTAATAACAGGTATAAACAATAACCTGAAAATGTTAATGTTAGTAATGTCTCAATCAGCTACTATTTTCTAGTACTTTTTTATTTGTACTAAAGATTTGTGATAAACTGTTAAAACACATGTATTATACTTTCAAGTGTTATGTGTGCTGTTATGAGGACACTGTCAAGTGCTTGTCTTATCAACAGAGTTTGAAATACTTTCACTCTGTCGTTAATAATATTTGGCAATTTTCCTGTTTTAAGTTCAACAAAAAGGTTCTCCTCCAGTAACTAAAGTTAAACCATATATGTCCAAAGGATAATCCTGTTTTCTACACAACAAGATTTGTAAAATGGTTTGCAAATATGAGATTGTGGTTAACTAGGGAGTTTGTTAATTCTGTTAACGATACAACATGAACATTTAAACATTAATGTTGTGGCTTTGGATGATTTTTGAGATTCCAAAACGTACTTTGAATACGTAAAATTGAACGCATGTGGAATTAATTGTCCTGACAAACCATAATGCAAACTATGCAACCAAGATTTTGCACACACGTAAGAGGAACCGAGTTTTAAGCAAGACCCATGTAAGAAAAAAAAAAAAAAGGAGCAAAAACTGCACATAGATATATATAAAACTAAAAGGAAGAAGTGTTCTTGCTTAACATGGACAAGATGTCACTATACGGTGATTGTCTGAAGGAATATTATAGCACTTTTCAAATATGTCACAGGTCATAATCTTTGGAACCATCGATGTTGTACATTACTTCCAATCTTGTAATTCTAGTTATGCATTCAATGTGCTAACCTAAAATCACTAGTTTAGGGCTATAGGCTCTAGCACAAGTTAATTGGGGCAGGTGAAATCCAGGAATTGGTCTGGTAAGTGTGAGACATTCCCATGCAAGTGTGGGTGGTCTTCCTCATTTCTGAGTTGTTTTTTTCTTGGCTGCCCATGCCTCGTTTCCACTAAGATTAAATCAATTGTCCATGTGTGCCACACAAGTTCCTACACTATTTCATCAACAAAACTGCAATAGTCTTTTTCCTTTTGTTTTTATCTGACTAGTCACAAAGCACAATAGTGAATTGTTAAGGAAAATAGTTCCTTTTATAGACACTCTTCAAACAACACTACTCTTTCGAGTTCCAATACACATGCCCTTGCATTTCTACTTGCCAAAATATCTATTATGGGAAATTTTCAGATTTGGCTTAGGCACAAAATTTACCATATTAATGTTTTGCTTGTACATTTGTGATATGCAACCAGATCGGCACAACTATTTGCGCAATTGTAGCTTCTTGGTTACTAAAATTTAGTGGCATTCTAGTCTAGTGGAATTTAAAAACCTATATAATTGTAGTTGTATTGTACTAAGCTACAAATTCCATACATATTTTGCTGATATTGATATATATGTTTCTTTAACTTTTCCTAACACCATAACATTCATATATGTTGTGTTTAAGCTACAACCTGGTTTTAATATATACAGAGATGTTATGGTTCTTAATCCGTTCTGCGTTAAATGAAAGACACTTAACACATAAATGCACTCTCTAATATGCTTAAGCATTTAAATGGTCTTCTGATAATGTCCTCATGAATCTACTGTTAATATTGTGTGATTAGCTCCCCCTTTCACACTCTCCAATCCTATAAAGTGTATTTGTGTGATCTAATGGTTAAAACCATGACACGCCATATCCTATTCAGAGCAATAACCGGCAAAAATATTCTAAACCATGTGTTGTTTATGAAGGAAGAGAACTCAAACGAATTCCGAAGTAGGAAGTAATAACAAGAATGTATAATTAAGAGAGAATGTCTTTTCTGCTATAAATATAAAGGGGGAGGGGATAAGGGTATAAAACAATGATTTAACAAAGAATAATGAGTGGAAGTATTTGGTCAGAAAGTGAGACACGTATTGGGAAGGAAATTGTGGTGAGACAGCAAGTGAATTATGGGTCAAGTTTAGGGACTTGATACAAAAGAAAAATTGGCTACGCTCAATTAGGCCATGAAATTCATCAAAATCTCATCCTAGCTATACTTTTCTAATCCCAATGCTCAATCCTCATTGGTTTTCAAGACCTTCTCTCAAGGAACTTTACTAGTTACTAGTTAAAAAGTGACTCCATTACCATGAATACACCTGGCACCTGGCTCTCTCTCTCTCTCTCATTGTCAGTATCATCCAACCATCATTACCACCTTTTCTCTTCACATTATATATATTTATTGCTACCTAGCTAGTACTTTCAGCTTACGCACTTTAAGCTCATTCATCCCCCTTACACCTACCCTTAGTCCTCCCACAATGAAGGTGAGTCTTTTCGTTGTGTTGCCACTGTGTGAGATTGTTATCTTAATTTAGTGTTAGGGACGTGTTGATGTGTCATATAATCTGAATGTTTTTGTTACTTGCAGTTCCTCAGCTGGATGCAAAATAAACTTGGTGGAAAACAAGACAACAGAAGACCAAATACACATACAACTAATACATGTAAGTCTTTGTACTATTCAGATAATTAGATTTTACTTGCGTCAATGCATGATGTTTCTAGCACCAATAAGATTCAAGAACTCATTCGTTGTCTGATACACTTAAAAACACACTTGCTTCTCTCTGAAGGAAGGGTGATTTGATTCGAAACATACAGAGAAAGACAGGGAGAAGACATGTTTGTATGTTCAATATATTTTCATATTTCTCTTTCTCTCTCTGTCAAGTTTCATTTCCAATCAAACAGAAGACTATATAAAAGATAACCTTATTTATATCAGAGGTGCTCGTACGTAGGAATTCTAGGCACTTAGAAATGCTGAAATGGTATTTGTATATATTTAACAATTATTTATATCTGTAAGATTGAAGAATAACCTAGTAGTTGTAACTTGATCCGAGGAAAACTTGGCCGAGGGTATTTACTTACTTTAAGAATAACATTAATCGTTTTTTCGGGAATCTTAAAATAATGTTTTCTTTTGGTTTTGTGCACAGCTCATGCAAAACAAGAACCTAGAGAGGAATTCAGCGATTGGCCTCATGGTTTACTAGCAATTGGAACATTTGGAAATAACAGTGAAATCAAAGAAAACTTAGATGACCAAAATACACAAGAGGATCCATCCTCATCAGAGGAAATAGTAGACTTCACTCCTGAAGAAATTGGGAATCTACAGAAGGTGTTAACCAAACTCCTGAGACGAAAACCAAATGTGGAAAAGGAAATTTCTGAGCTTCCTCTGGACAGATTTCTTAACTGCCCTTCAAGCTTGGAGGTTGATAGGAGAATCAGTAATGCGCTATGCACTGAATCAGAAGATAAAGAAGAAGATATTGAGAAGACATTGAGTGTGATAATCGATAAATGCAAAGACATTTATGCAGATAGCAGAAAGAAAGCAATTGGGAAGAAATCCATTTCTTTCCTTCTGAAGAAGATATTTGTTTGTAGAAGTGGATTTGCCCCAACACCTAGCCTTAGAGATACCCTTCAAGAGTCAAGAATGGAGAAGGTACCCCTTTGTTTTGCTGATAACCGTTCACTTTCCTAGTTAGGTGGAGAGATTATTACATGGTCTCATATCATCATAATCAAGTTTTTCAAAAAGAGAGTTAATAAAACTTTGTCATGTTTCACAAAGAAATTCTTTGGAATTATAGACAGGTGGTGCTCTCAGATCATAGATTGATTTCTAAACTAGGTGCTATTTCAATTTTCACTCACCTGTGATAAACTTTACAGCTTTTGAGGACAATGCTTCACAAGAAAATTTACACCCAAAACTCTTCTCGGGCATCAATGATGAAGAAGTGCATAGAGGACAAGAAGATGACAAGGAAGACGAATGAGGATGAATCAGATGAGAGAAGTGGTGATGGCAGTAAATGGGTCAAGACTGATTCTGAATGTAAGTTGCAGTTTGGCATATAAATCTGCTTGATAATGTCCCTGACTTAAGTTTCTATGATTAATAATGTCCTTTTTTTTCTTGCAGATATTGTGCTAGAGATATAAACCTGCTTCCTATTTTTACTACCTCTATTAGTAGCTGTTCAGGTAAACATCACTTCATAGTTATAGAAGTAGTACAGCAGTGTGTCCATTCCATAACACATATTTGACAACATTTTGTTTCTTTGACCTCAGATGGAAGCAAAAGGTGAGAAAAAGAGAGAGACATGTATATGATGATGGAGGGTATGAAGTGGAGATAAGATTTTTTGAAAAGAAGATGAAGTGTGAAATGTAGATGGTGCATAGTAGAGAGGAGAATGTGTGTTTGTTACTAATAGTGGATGTGGTTATTTTTTCATGGTTGTGTCTGCAAAGGCGGAACAAGTCATGTTGTGGAAAATGATAGAATGGGTCTGTGATTTGTAATGGCAAAGTTAGACATTTTGTATGCTCAACACACTTCTCCTCCCTTTTTTACTCCACTTTGTCACCTCCACCACTTCTTTTGTAACATCTCCCAATTAAATTAATGAATAATACTTTTTTACTTTTTAAATGCTTCTTCAATAACTCATTATTTTAAAAATTGTTTATTTTAGTTTAAACAATTCACCTTATTAAATAAGAGATTTTTTTAAAAATAAATTGATTATTATAATATTGACCAATAAATATATCAATTTTAAATTGATTTTCCTGTAAGTCTCTTAAACCAAACAACATTTTCTTCCATCAAAATTATTTATATTTCTATACCAAATCTAAGTCACTCATTATTGTATATTTATTTAGGTCTATTTGGATAACCTTTTACATGAGTATTTTTTAGAAATAAAAATAAAAAAATTAAATACTTTTTTTCATTAACTAAAATTAACTTAGATATAAAGTAAAAGTAGAAATTTAAATCAATTATATAAGAGTTACTCTAAATCTTGGTCAATGAATATGTTCATTTTTCTTTTTCATTCTTATAAATACTTATAGAAAAGTTTGTTCGAATATGTCATTTAATGATGATATATTAATATAAAATATTTATTAATTTTTCCGATAATTTTGTTGATAATTAATTTTTATATAAAACATGATTGAAAATCTTGTTATCTAATTATAATTACATATAATATTTTTAAAATTTACAATAACTATTTTTTTAATTCTTATTTACAAGATTCCAAGATATTTGTTTCTTTTATACTCATTGTATTAATTATTTTAAGAATAAGATACTCTTAATTAAAACTAGTGGAATTTTATACTGACAAATACTTAGAAGAGAAAAAAAACTTAAAAAGTGAAAATTTATAAATTTAAAATACTTTAAAAGTCTTAATAATTATTTTAGATCATTTGACATAAAATCTTATATAGAGACATGTCAATGAAATTCGTATAAAAATACGAATAAATAATATTTTAATATATTATTGCTGTAAAAAAAGAGCTAAAATATATATATATATATATATATATATATATATTTAAATAGATTTTTATATAGCAAATATTTAAATGGATAAACTAATAACATAATTATTATTAAAAATAAGTAATAAAAACATTCTTATGTAAGTTAATTACGTTAATTTATATAGAAATGTTTACTTTTTGTTCTAATCATTTCAATAATAACGAATTAACTAAAATAGAGTAGTATTGTATTATTGATTGAACAGAGCGTACAAAGAAACCCCGTATGGCACAGAAACACCACCTTCTTCTGGATCTATCCCAAATCCCACTCTCCAAACCCTAGAAAGTTAAACTCTCCCCCTTTTCTTTCTCTCATTGTCCCTGTCAAAGACTCTCCCTTTCCATTCTTCCGCAGCGTTTTGATTTCTGGGTTTTCTTCCTTTTCGCGATTTCGATCTTTAACCTGAGGCTGTGGAATTCGGAATTCAGATTGAAGTTATTGGGGTGCAGTAGGAGAGTTGCGTTGGCGCTGGCAATGCCATTGGTGTGGTCAGTGAGGAAATTTTCGGTGATTTTTGTGATACCGAAAAAACACAATGTCTTGGGCAGGGCCTGAGGATATTTACCTTTCTACTTCACTTGCTAGCTATCTTGACAGTGAGCACTCTCTCTTTCCCTTTCTCTCATATTGGTATTCACTTTAAATATGCTAATTTATATGAAAGATTGGACACTTAATTTCATTGTCTACTGTGTAAAGGGTAATTTCAGTGCCAAAATGTTGTCGACTTGGGTGGAAACTAGTAAATTGTGGAGTTTTTTTTTTTAAAATGTTCAAAGTGTGTTTTGTATTTTTGTGGAAACTGGTGATTCAATTTTCAAGAGCCTCTAGTGTAATTAGATATCCAAGAGCCTCTACTGTATATAAATTAAGAATGGCTTGATATCCCAGAGCCTCTTAGTATAAATAGATTAAGAACTATAGTGTGTGATATAATGCAATTGTATGAGATAAAAAAATTTATATGTTGCTATTGCTATAGTCGTTTCTGTAAAACTGAAGGCATAAGAGTATGCTGTTATGGTGAACTATAGATGGCAATGATATTGTGTCTGAATTGTAATTTGTTATTGAATAGTTGCGATATTACTTTATCTTTTGTATTTAGCATACAGTTTGTGAGATAGTGTTCAAAAGCAGTGAAAACAGTTGGGTGTGGTAAATTAATTTGAGTTCTTTGAAAGTGAAGCTGATTGTGTTTGTCACTAACTTTTGTGGCCTGACACTTTTTTTTTTTTTTTTTTTTTGTAGAGAAACTTCTTGTATTGCTGAGAGATGGTAGAAAGCTCATGGGGACACTTCGCTCTTTTGATCAATTTGGTACCAACATCTCATTAAATTATTTTGACATGCTATAAGTTGACATTCTAATATGTCCCCTCAATAATATGCAGCTAATGCAGTCCTTGAGGGTGCCTGTGAGAGGGTTATTGTTGGTGATCTGTATTGTGATATCCCTTTGGGTCTCTATGTGATCCGTGGGGAAAATGTTGTTCTAATTGGTGAGCTGGTAAGATTAATAACTATTTCCCTTTGCATGTAAAAGTATTTTCTATTTTTTCAATCTTATTTACAATATCTTTTTGAACTTTTAGGACTTGGAGAGGGAGGAACTTCCTGAACACATGACTCGTGTTTCTACAGCAGAAATCAAGAGGGTAAATATTCCCAAATTGTTTCTTCATTTAATTGATGCAATTGATGTGTATTTGTCATGGTAGTCAGTCTAGCACCATACACCATCCTATACTACTTATTCGACACAATTTATGACACATCGAGTATCGTGATCCCCAAGTAAATCTCACGATTCTGGCATAGTGGTAACACAAGTGTTGTGGGTTCATTGGAAATGCAAGTATCTTATGCGACGAAGGCAATCGCAACTGCCTTACGTGTTGTAGGTTTAAACTGCGTCCTAAGCATGCATCCTTGTCAAGGGTGTTCTGATGAGTTCCTAACGTTGAATCCAGCTAGTAGGGGAGGGTTAGAAGGCAGTGTTTAGGGTTCAAGAACAAAGTAAAGGTAAGGAAAGAAAGTCTGGTCAGATGTAGGCTCTGGGTATGGGTCTTTGCTGCCTTCAAACTTTACATTTTTTTTTTAAAACTCCATGCAGGCGTGTCACGTGAAATTTTAAAACTCTTCCTATGTTTGTTATTTTTTATTTTTTTTTAAATCACAATGCAAAAAATAGGCTTTCCGCTTTATACATTGTACCCCAATCTTGGTATTTTCTATCTCCTTACCTTCTCACTTGAGTAAAGATAATATTATGCTGTTACTTGACATTCATTGTCAAGCTACCCTTTCAATTCATTGTTATAATTTCGTTGCTTTCCTACTTTTCTTCAGTAACCTTCAGTATGTCATCAAATATATAAAGCATGTGGAAACAGATTATGTATTTTTGTTTATAATATCTCTTAATCATTTGGTAAGTAACCTTGCCATATTATACGATCATGAGCAAGAAAAGCCGACAGAGTAATGGATGGGCCTATAATAAATTCGTATGAACTCTGCCTACCAAATTCTAGCTCATTGTGTTGATAAAGTCATCCTTGACATTGTTTTCTTTCTGTAGATGGTTGTGGCAAAATAACTTGATTGAGATAAGCCCTTCCATATCCTTCTCTTCCAGGCCATATTCCTTGTCCTGGGTCTGATTCTGAAACTGATCTGATGAGATGGTGTTTATCTTAGCGACTGTATGTACTGTAATGTTAAATTGTTCTGAATATCGGTAAACAGCTTCATAGTTTGCAGTTTATCTGGTAAATAGTACGCCTACAGGGCACACTACTCTCTGAAAGAAAAGAAAATGTCGATATTGTAATAAAGAAGAAAAATGCCTCAAATGTTTGATTGTCCATTTACAAACCCAACATAACCAGACACCCGAATAAATAGAAAATCTCTAAATAACAAATAATTTCAAATCAAAATCCCTTTTTTGAAAATTTAAATCAAAGAATTATCATATTATCATATCTGTTACGATTTGGAATTAGTTGTTGATGTAGTCCTCTAATTTACATTTAGTTAAGCAATAATCCTATTATGTAGACTTGTGAAGTTTTCTATTTTTTAATGGAATTTTTGTTATGCATTGCAGGCACAGAAAGCAGAAAGAGAGGCTTCAGATCTGAAAGGAACTATGAGGAAAAGAATGGAATTTCTTGACTTTGATTAGTCAACCTTCATTCATCCTTCATTTTTCACCCTTCACCTCCACCCCGCAAATATTATAGCGGCTGTTCTTCACATATTTTGTTTTTCATTTTCTCTGCTATTGTTGCCTTTCATGGGAGGGTTGAATACTCTTGAATTTTCTTTTGTAATATTAGCCCCGGAATCAATACTATCATTCATTTACTTTAAAAGAATATCTATTTCTTTTGCTTCCTCTGAGATGAGAGGATGCACATTAAAATATAAAATGCATTTATAATCTGCAATTACAAAATTAACGGTTGAAAGTATTAATAAAATAAAACACGTATTTAACAAAATTATAAATTAAATATGAATTCCACTGTTAACTTTATAATTAGTGGTGATTATTGTTGTTTATCTTTAAAACATTATTCAAGTTTTAGAAAAGTGAAATCCCAACATGAAAACATAGTTCAATTTATTGTTGCTTATTCTTTATATATTTCACATTTTGTATATTTATTTTAAGACATCTTTAAACTGTTACAAAAAATTTGTGATAAATTTTATAGGTCATAGACGTTTAGTCCTTTCAACACTATCAAATGATGTTGATCATTCTACTTAAAAAGTTCTATTCAATTTTTTTTATGAAGTTATATTGTATTTTGAGTTAATTTCTTCAATACCATTTAATATATTTCTTCATAACTATTTTCACTAATTCATTAATTGATGTTTGGTAAAGTAATGAATTAATCTAATAGTATTTATTGTAGAATAGTTAAGAAGTATTTTTGATAAAATGTTTAATATAAAAGATAATTATAAATTCTTATAAAAAAAATTAAAAAACTTCTTACATATAAAAAACGAGGTACTGGATGAAAGAGAGTCGCAGCAAACAAAATAATATTTAATCTTGTATGAGTTTTCCACGTAGATTACTTTTATAATATAAGATAGATACTATGCATGTAAAATATATATATATATATATATATAAAATTACCAATAAACTAATTTTCAATTACATTTTAGTATTTTTTTTTCTCATAATTTCAATAATAATGAATTAACAAGCGTAGTATTGTTTTGATTGAACATACCCTGGATAGCAGAAGCAAGAAGCCTCCTTCTGAATCTATCCCAAATCACAATATCGAAACCCTAGAAGATCAAACTCCCCGCCCCCCCTCCTTTCTTTCTCTCGTTTCCCTTTCAAAAAGGTTCCCTTTCCACACTTACGCCGCGATTGGATCTCTGGGGTTTCTTTCTCTCCGCGATTGCGACCTTAAACCTCAGGCTGTGGAATTGTGAATTCAGATTGAAGTGATTGGGGGTGAAGAGAGTTGAGTTGGCGCTGGCAATGCCATTGGTGTGGTTAGTGAGGAACTATTCGGTGATTTTTAAGATACCGAAAACGAAAAATGTCTTGGGCAGGCCCTGAGGATATTTACCTTTCGACTTCACTTGCCAGCTATCTTGACAGTGAGCCTTCTCTCTTTCTTTTAATCTCATGTTGATGTACGCTTCAAATTTAATAGTTTATGTGAAAGATTGGACTCCTGAGATATAGTAGTGCCTAGTTTTTCCTTTTGGTTCTTGTTTTCATCGAGTAATGTGTGAAGGGTAATTTTTTATTGCCAAAAAGTTGTGGACTTGGTTTGAACGAGTAGATTACGGAGTTTTTTTTTGGTGATCAACTTTGTCTTGTATTTTTTCAGAAAGTGGTGATTCAATTTTCATTGGGAATTTTAGGTTGGGCTTGACTATTGTGTTAGACATTATAATGCCTCAGGGGAAACGGAATGGTCACGATTTTGACTGAGATTCCTTTTGTGCATGTTTGTTACGAGCTATGTATACCAAAACAAAAAAATTCATGCCTCCAAAATGTGATTAGGGAAGAAGAAATTTCTGGTACTGTCAATTACATTGGTCCCATGTTTGTCCTCTGTAGTTGTTATACCTCCTAAATTCCAGCCATAGTCGCTTATGCTGAAGTGAGTGCATGAGAATATGCTATGTCATGGTGAAATATTGACGTGAATGATATTGCTTTGGAATTGTAATTTGTTTGATTGAATAGTTTTGATGTCACATTGCTTTTGACATATTTAGCATAAAAGGCTTTTTGAGAGGGATTTTAGCTAGATATTGTTCAAAAGCAATGAAACTGGTTGGATGTGGTAAATTAATCTTGGTTTTCCTTGTAGGTGAAGCTGATTTTGTATTATGTACAAATTTGTATGGTCTGACGATTATTGTTTTTGTAGAGAAACTTCTTGTATTGCTGAGAGATGGTAGAAAGCTCATGGGGACACTTCGCTCTTTTGATCAATTTGGTACTAACTTGTCCTTAAATTATGTAAAGTTTTGTTTCACTATAGGTTGACTTTATAAAATTTCCCATCAATGATTGCAGCTAATGCAGTTCTTGAGGGTGCCTGTGAGAGGGTTATTGTTGGTGATCTGTATTGTGACATCCCTTTGGGTCTCTATGTGATCCGTGGGGAAAATGTTGTTCTAATTGGTGAGCTGGTAAGATTACTAATTGTTTCCCATTTCATCCAAAAATATTTTCTACTTTTCGATCTTCTTTACAATCACATGTCTTTCATCTTTTAGGACTTGGAGAGGGAGGAACTTCCCGAACACATGACACGTGTTTCTACAGCAGAAATCAAGAGGGTAAATATTCAAGTTGTTTCTTAATTTAATTGATGTTTTGTGTGTACTTTCTCTCCTTAGCTCACCTCATTTTTATAAAGATAATAATACTATGCTGTGACTTGGACATTCATCGTCAAGGCACTCATCAATTTGATGTTGTAATTTCATTGCTTTCTTACTTTTCTTTACAAACTTTCATTGCATCAGGATTATATAAAGTGTGTAATGAACAAATTTTTTATATTTTGTTTCTAATATCTACTAATCATTTGTAGTTAACCTTGGCTGGGGAAATAAGGGCAAAGTATTTTGATGATGATCTAGAGAAAGTGATAGACTAAGAGCTCAACTGAGTTGTCCTATATTAAATACTTATGAACCCTACCTACCAAATTCTAGCCCATTGAGTTGGTAACGAAGTCCTCTCTTCCATGCCACAACCAACCTTGTCCTTTATGATTTTGAAACCAGTCTTAATCATAAAATCATATTTAGCTATTGTATGTATTGTTGATGGTTGTTCCCGACCAGCTTCATGTTTTTATCTGGTAAGAACCTATAGGGTAAATTCTCTATGAACAATAGGAATCTCAATACCATAATTATGCAGAAAGATGTACTAAATGTTTGATGGTCTATTTATAAACCTAATACAGCACCCAGATAAGATTAAAATCCTAAGAACTATCACTACATAAAAAAATATTATGCACACACTGTGGAAGAGAGATCTGTCTTCCAAATAGAATAATGTTATGTCATTTACTTGTAATTTTGGGACCATTTTTCTGTTATGATTTGGAAATAGTTGCAGATGATGCAGCCTATAATTTGCATTTATTTAAGCGATGATTCAATTGTGTAGACTTGTGAAAGTTTCTATTTTTAAGTGGAACTGTGACTATGGATTGCAGGCACAGAAAGCAGAAAGGGAGGCTTCAGATCTGAAAGGGACTATGAGGAAAAGAATGGAATTTCTTGATTTTGACTAGTCAATCCTCATTCATCCTTCACCTCCACTCCGCAAATATTATAGCGGCTGTTCTTCACATATTTTGTTTTTTTTTTCTCTGCTATTGTTGCCTTTCATGGGAGGGTTGAATACTCTTGAATTTTCTTTTGTAATATTAGAGCCTCAGGAATCAATACTATCATTCATTTGCTTCAAAAAATTGTCAATTAATATGAGCTTATCTTCAATTCGTAACCACTTTCTGATTTGGGGATGAAAGGCTTCAAATTATGCAAAATTTGTATTTTATTGGTTCAATGCTTTGCAACCTTAATTCAACGTGACTATGGTTCACCGTGAACTGTTCTAATTTCTTCAGTTCGCTACCAATGGTTGCATATAAATGAGGAATTGATTTAAGACAACTACTCTAATAAGCTATATAAAATAACATAATGATTATAACTAAAATTTATAAAAATAAATAAATAAAACTCCTCCTACTTTGTGATGTTTTGATTTTTATCAGTTTGTATTTATGAGTTATTCTAACATACATTATTGTCTTCGAATTTTCAAATATTATGAGGCTTCTGATGTTATTGAACTAAATAAATTTTTTAGCCAAAATATTAGTGAAAAAAAAAGCTTTATCTTTCATTTAGAATTTAAATTGTAATATTTAAAAATTTGAAATATTTTGACAACATTATGAATTTTTGTGTAATTCACTAAAATGTTCTCTCTCATAAGTTTTATTTTAATTTTCATTGAAAATATTTTAATATTAGAATACTTTTCAAGAATCATATTTAAAATTCTAAAACAAAATTAATAATTTTTACTGTAGTGCAATTTCCTTCAAATAATTCTGCCCTCATGTTTAAACATCAAAATAGAACTCATCCTGGAATAGTGTGCAACAATCCTGAGATAATGATACAAAGCCTTATGAATTTTCTTAAAAAATGTCTCATATTGGTCTATGCTAACTTCTACAGAAGAAAAAAATAAAATTGCTCAATATGATTTTGGTGTTTGAAAGTTTCATCTGGTTTCTAAACGTTAATATAACATTTAAGTGGATAACTATTCATCTATTAACGAAAAAACTAACTTATTTTCACTTTTTAAATTTGGTATCTTTAGAGATCATTAACACAGCATCCCATTTTATTTTAAGACAAAATTATTGGTTTAGTCACTTAGATCTATGACAGTGGTGAAGATCGTCCAATAAGAATCATAACAATAATATTGACTTTTGAAGCCATGTCTTTTGAATTCTGCACTCATAATATTATTAATAAAATTAAATTATAGTCAACAAACAAACACCTAAGAACCAGTACGAAAAGACCATTTTTTTTCTTTTCTTTTTTTCACTCTATTAATATGTAGACACCGACACCTCTGTCATTACCTTCCGGCACGAACTAGGAAACAAGAAATTTGCGGAGACAATCAAGTGAGTGACTGATATATATAAATGACAAAATTAATTGTGTCAGTGTCAAACTTCACTAATTTTATAATAAAATTAAAAAATTAAATAGTATTTTTGCCTAATATTTTTTTATTTCGTTTAATTATCATAGCAGTGATCTTATTTTTTTTTTTCTTTTTACAAATTGATTAAGTGGTCTTTCTATTAATTATATTAAGTTGTTTAATAAATATTGTAATAAGTTATATATTATCGATTATGTTATATCCACTACATATTATCAACACATAACTTTTATATTCAGTACTAAATATGATGACATCATATTCTTTTTAGATAATTTAAAAAAATATATTAATTTTAGAAAAACTATTAAAAAATTATAATAAATGAACGTACCAGTAATTTCATATTTCTCACGTAAATTTCTTACGCAAAAACTCTATATTCTATTCTGTGGTAATTCTAAAAGCAAAAAAAAAAAAAAAAAACAACTGAATTGCATTTCACTAATCCACCTTTAATCACTCTGTTACTAATCATTCACCCACTCAAGAAGCACACACAGGCACACTCGTTTTTCTCTTCGTATACATTTCAAACCTCAATCTCCATAAACCCAACATTTTTCTTCTTCTTCTCTCTCACTTTTTAACACTTCACTCTACAGATCCAGTTTCTCTCTCACACACTCTCCGTGAAATGTGTGGGGTCTCGCTTCTGGCGTTTCTGCTTCTGCTATCCCTCTGTGCCGAAGCTTCTGTTCACGATTATAGAGGAGAGAAATTCGCGGCCAAAGGCAACGCCTTTGTCGTCCATGGAGGTAGCGAAGGAATTTACGCTTCTGTCCCCAATCTCACCGACACTTACCCACCGCCAAATCCTGATTCTTACATACGGTCTTTTCACTTGTCCCTTTAATTTCTTATCTGGGTCTTGTTAAAGCACTTCCTTTATGCTTTATCTTCATTGTTTGTTAAGTTTTAGTGTGTAACCCCTCCAGATTCAGAATTGTTTCATGTTTTTATGTCTGAAAAATGTAATTGACTTACTAGGAGGCTTGCTGAATTGCTGCATTGAGATTTCAGTGTAGTGGGAGTGAGGTTCTTGGTAAAAAAAAAATGTTATTTTTGTTGTTGCAGTAGATGTTCTTAATTCACTTCAATGTGTAGTAAAAAGTGTAATTTTTCTTGTCAGGTTTGAAAAGTAAACGTGTTAGGATACTCATAGGATTTCAACTAGTTGGTAACTGTTTCTCTTGTGGTTGAGTCCCAAAGGATTATACTTAACGACTGTTTTTGTTTAGTACTGTGTTGTTAGTCATGCTGATCTTTGAATTGAACACGCCTTGTGCTCAATTCAAGCCAACAGATATAATAAAAGTTATGATGATGTTTTGTTGATTGGGTTTTATATGTTGTAATGTCAGATTTGAAAGGATAACATTTCGGAGAAGCAAGGAGTTTTCTAATTTCAGTTCATGGCCGATTCAAGCTGTTCTTTTTGAAGTTGAAGATAGAGAAACAATTGGTGGTTCAGCTTATGGGGGTCAAAGGGCTGTCTGCTGCACCAGCGATCTAGCAAAACTCGGTGTGTGCGCTGAAGGACAGGTGATTTACCGGCCTTCTGTAGAGAATCCTGATTGGCCTCAAGTTTTTGGTGTCCCTTTTGAAATTGATGATGAAGAGGCGGTGCTGCCCTTGAAATCTATACAAATCACAAAAACTGGGATGTATAACTTGTATTTCATCCATTGTGATACTAGGCTTAAAGAATTGGTTGTGGAAGGGAAAACTGTATGGAAAAATCCCTCTGGTTATCTGCCTGGTAGAATGGCGCCTATGAAAATTTTCTACCAATTCATGTCTTTTGCATATATATTGCTTGGGATCTTTTGGTTCTCTCAGTATGCTAGATTCTGGAGGGAAGTATTTCCCCTGCAGAACTGCATTACCCTGGTGATAACCCTAGGCATGTTTGAGATGGCTCTGTGGTACTTTGACTATGCTGAATTCAGTGAGACTGGAATCAGGCCAACTGGGACAACCATATGGGCAGTCACCTTTGGGACTGTTAAGCGGACAGTGGCACGTTTGGTCATTTTAATGGTTTCAATGGGCTACGGTGTTGTGAGACCTTCCCTTGGTGGGCTTACATCAAAGGTGGTTATGCTTGGAGGAACATTCTTTCTTGCATCTGAAGTGCTTGAGTTGGTAGAAAACGTTGGTGCAGTAAGTGATCTTTCTGGAAAGGCAAAACTGTTCTTGGTTCTTCCGGCTGCTGTATTGGATGTGTTCTTCATTCTTTGGATTTTCACTTCACTCTCTGCAACTTTAAATAAGCTTCAGGTATTCATCTTCTAGGGTTGTTCCCATATTCTATATTCCATAAACATCATGCCAGATTTCTCTTCTTTCTCATGCACAAAGTAGATGTCCTTGTAAATGATACATAAACTTCGTGACTGCAAAATTTTCACTTTCCATGGTAAACTTGACAGTCACGGTTTTCCTTAATTTTTATTTATAGCACTGGTGGGTAACAATGGGCAGGAGAAGTATTATCGCTTGTTTTCTGAACTTCGTAGAAATATGACTAGACAGTATTTGTGAAATAGCTATCTAGCAGGAGACTCTGGGAGTGAAATGCCATAAAAAAATGCTGTTACATTTGTAACTAATAAACCTGGATATAAGGGCACCTGGACTACGTTGAGTTATGTGGTTGAAGTAATCAAGGAATATGGGAGAGGACATTATACAATTCTCCCTCAGTGACAAGTGTGCCTTTAGTTCGTATTTTTCGTGTTTGATAGTCCATGGTTATGTTATGATATTTCTGTAGAAAAATAAGAATTAATGGTCAAATTCTAGTTTTATTCTTCAATGGTAAATTAATAAAATATTCTTTCCAAGATTGAAGTATCCAAGCCTGATAATTTTATCTCATGAATACTACTCTGTTTTATAGCTTTTATGCACAAATTAGGGTGATGATTATCTTATCTTAGACTCATGCTATGCTGCTGCACCACGTAATGTGACGACTGATTGTTCACTTTGTCATGTCTTTTAATATAACTATCTATAATTTACTCTTCTGGGCTATGTAATGCAACAGGCCAGAAGAATGATGATAAAATTAGATATTTACAGGAAGTTCACTAATGCTTTGGCAGTAGCTGTGATTGTATCTGTGGGCTGGATATGTTACGAGGTAATTCTCAGGCAGAAATATATCTCAATTGCTTTGCATGTTAACTACACCTAATAATCGTATAGTAGAGTCAAGGTCATTGGTCTATGCAATCAATGGATGCTGTAAACAAATTAAAATGAGTTGTAACTTTTTATCACAATTAGAGCAGGAGATGTGTTAAAAAATAGATACATCAATTAAATTTAGATATATCAAGTCTTGATTATTTTTCTACTTTCTGTTCCAGCTTTATTTCAAATCAAATGATGTATACAATGAGCAGTGGCAGAATGCATGGATCATCCCGGCCTTCTGGCAAGTTCTGTCTTACTCTCTCTTGTGTATTATCTGCATTCTTTGGGCACCATCTCAAAGTGCAACACGGTAAAAAATCCACCCCTTTCTAAGTTTTCCATCATCTATATTCTGTAATGCCTGTGTTATCCCAACATTAACTTTTTCTTTTATGTTTTCTGTCCACGTACATCATTTGTATCTCACTATTGTTTCTGTTCTTAACAGATATGCTTACCGTGATGATGGGAGCGATGAGTTTGATAGGGATGAGACTACTTTAACGCTCATAAAACCATCACCTATTTCTTCAAAAGATGTTCGAAGTGTGGCAGATGGTAGACCAGTGCAAAGCAGTAACGGGAACTCAAATGATGATTTAGAAGAAGACAAGAGAGAATGAAGTAGAATGTAGCCGTGATTATGTGCTTCCATTGTACCCCTCCTGAAAATTAGCTCCATGACTCTTTTCCTTTATTCTTTTATTTCCTTCATAGCCTTTACTCTCACTTGATACTTTGTCAGCTCATACTACCTCGCGAGATTGGATTACGTGACAGAGTCCTGTGTGTTCCTGTAATGCCAATGCACAAGAATATAATTGAGTCACTTTTTACTAATACAAAGGAACCTTTCTTCAATTATGCAATATGTTATGTATATTATCCATGTGCATGCATGCATACATGTGGGGACACTTACTACAAATTTTTCGTTTCTAAGTTTCCAGCTGTATAGCATATATAGTAGTATTCTATTATTCAGTGTTGATGAATGAGATTTTAAATCCATGGATTTTTATTTATTTTGTATATGTATATTCTTTTACAAAAGTTTGAGGATCGAGTTGAGTTGGTACCGGTCAATAAAAAGGATTTATCAAAGAAAAGCTAACAATAGGAATTGAATAATCGAAACCTTCGTTATCTTTTACGATGAATCCAGACATGTATTTGAATATATACTAATTTTACTTTTAGGACTCAAAAGGTATTCAATTATTGTCCTATAAGGAAGAAGAGTAGTGTAGAACAGTTTCTCTCAAAGTCCACCATTTCTTTATGGAAATGGTTCGGTACTTAAAGGCGTTCCTATTTGATTGTGTTGTGACCTCGTATATATATATATACTAGTACCATAACCCGTGCAACGCACGGGATTTTTGAAAAATGTTAAATGAAAAAATTATGTTAAAAAAATTGTATAAAATAAAAAAAAACTTACAATAAATACAAAATATAATCGATAAAATTATATCATACAAAATTTAAAAAATACCTTCTATAATAACATAATGATTATAATATAATGTAACATTTGAATAATATGCAATAATAACAAATCAAAATAAATTAGTATAATAATTTATAAATTTGATATATTGCATAAAAAAGATAAATCTAGTAAAAAATATTGTAATTTTATTTTTCATAATACATATTACACAATTAAACAATAAAGAAAGAAAAAGAATAAATAATGACAAAATATATAATTTGTAAAATAGTTATATGATTGTGAATAAAACTTACCAATTGTACAATTTTATGATCATTAAATAAGCATAATTTTGAAGCAATAATAAACATCATAAATCTACATTTTCATAGAGTAAATAATTAAAAATTATAACAAATAAATGAAGTAAACATGTAGTTTTTCGTATAATAGTGTACCTGCACATGTTTAAAGGTTTTCAAAGATTTCTTTGTATACTACATTTTTAGTACATGATGTTACATTTCCTTCTTCATCCAATATAAGCATTTTCAGTCCTTTCTTTGTTTTGACTCTAGAAATTGCCACATAGAACTGACCATGGGTGAATACTCGGACGCTGAAGATAAAGTCCAACTTTAGAGAGTGATTGGCCTTGACTCTTATTGATTGTCATTGCAAAACACAATGATAATGGAAATTGTCTCCTTTGAAACTTGAAAGGAAATCCAGGATCGAAGGAATCAAATTCATTCTTGGTATAAAGATTTTGTCTCCAATATTTTTTCCAAGCAATTACGATGAGTCGATATGACATTTTTTCCCAAATCATTCACTTGCAATCTTGTTCAGTTACATAAACCATTTGTTTGATCAATGTTTCTCAACAACATTACGGGAACACCAACTTTTAATCTAAGTCGATGAGTTGGAATACCTCGAACATTTAATGTCATTAAGAAATTCAGATGTAAATCATTCACCTTGCATTTCTGATCCTCATCTGATTGACATGGTGTATCGGAACTCAAGTATATTTTTTCTTCACCAGGAATCAAAGATAAAATAAAATTATTAACTTCCTCAACTGCATCAATAGTAGGACAAAGTATCGCTCCATCATCAAAATTACCAAGCATACATCATGTTATGCACAAAATGAGGATAGACAAAATTAACTAATGAAAGTAAAGGTGTTTCATTGCCTTCAATTAAAAGATCTTTGGGTATGTGAATATGTCCTTCACCATTTTCATTCAAAGGCACATCTCCATCTCCAATCTTTAATATCCAATCAGCAAATTCTTTTATATCTTTTGCACTATCATTTGTTTTTGCGGTATTTAACCTCATATTCTCTCGTAAGCTTTAGAACTTTGCAATTTGTCCATATTTCGAATAATTTATAGATGACTTCACCACATCATGTCTTGATCCTTTTCTAACAACGAGCAAAATTTGCCTAAAATCACCTCCTAACACAATAACTTTACCACCAAATGGTTTATCATGATTCTCTACATTTGTTGCTTTCATAATATCCCTCAAGGTTCGATCAAATGCTTCAAAACATAATCTATTCATCATTGGAGCCTCATCCCATATAATTAGTTTTGTTTCCATCAAAAGTTTAGCTCGAACACTTCCTTGAGGTATATTGCAAGTTGATTCCTCATTAATTAATAATGGTATGCAAAATGTTGAATGAGTCTGTCTTACCTCCAGGAAGTAACAAAGAAGCAATTCCACTTGAAGCCACATTAAGAACAATCATTCCCTTAGACCTAATGGCAGCTGACAAAGTTTTCCAAAGGAATGTCTTACCAGTACCACCATATCCATACAAAAAGAAAAACCCCCCTTTTCGAAAATACAGCTCTCATGATCTCTTCATAAACACATAGTTGTTCATGAGTCAATGACTGGAACAATGTTGAATGTACTTTATTCATTTCTTCCTTATCATAATTAAGTTCATCAACAATAAATTTATTGTCATATATGAATGAATCTGAAAAATCAGGTTGAGGTAAACAACTATAATCTTTTAGGGACCTACCATTTGACATAAGCAATTCATCTACTCGTAATAGACAAAGATTATGCAATTCAGATTCTTCAATTTGAAAACCTGCATTGGAAGATAACATAACATGATAAACAATCAAATAAGTGATTAAAACTTACAAATAAAAAATTTTGTATACCTGGTAGATTTAACTCCTTTCTTTTTTGATATAAAATATCATCTCGCCAACAATTTCCATGTAGAATTCCAAACAACATCTGGTTTAGACATTGTGTTCATCACTAATAATGTAACAAACAACTTTCTCAATTGATTGCACTGAAGCAAGTTTACTTGCTTCATTGATTACATCAATGAATTCTCTATCATTTGCCAATAGTCCCAAAGCGTGGCAAGCATCTTGATAAGTTTGGTAAGTTATCCCATTGATCTGTCTTTATGCTATCATAATCAATGCATCCTTTTTGTATTGTTAACAATATCCTCATATAATATAACTCACCGGAACCTGGAGGAACATACGTCGGTCGTCCAATATTATATCCTTGCTTTCTTGGTTTCCATTCTCTCTGTTGAGGCATCCATACAAACTTACTTGGAAATTCAGCATATGTTAGGTTATTTCCCTCAACAAACCTTTTATTAGCCTCAAACCAAGCGAGTAAACATTGTGTGAACATCTTCATTAGAATTCAAGATGGCATGAATATGGTCATCATCTTTAAAAAAATTGATTGTTGACTTATGAGATGAAATGTCAATCTTTGCACGAGATGGTCATCTATGATGAATATCAAAACCAAAAATTCTCCAAACTGCCTCGAGATGGTGATAAGTATCTACAATCATAGTATCTTTTAATTTCATCAACAACTTCGAATTAGTAGAATCTGCAGAACTACTACTAATGTTAATGGTTGCTCTATCCGGTCCTTTGTTGACATATTTAAATAAATACTTGATTGAATTTGACTTGTTGCAATATTCGGTATTAACATGAGCTTGATACCTCATCAAAAGAAGTGGACTATAAGGAACAACACTACAATTATCTAGTTTAAGTCCATTCTTTATAACAAATATGCCATTATCTTGACGTTTATAAGACGGATATCCAGTCTTCATCTATAGTAGTTGAAGATGTAAATTTCTTGGGATAATATTTTGAACATCTACCTTCTTTCATGCAAGGTGAATTGAATTTTGCAGCTCCACATGGACCATGGATCATGTAACTTGCAACCATGCTAGAAAGTTTTGGATACAAATCTGAATGAGGTAATTCAGCAGAGATTACCTTATCAATGTCCCTTCCATTATGCAATTTATTTTCACTATCCAACCATAATAAGATGTGAGCATGTGGAAGTCCTCGTTTTTGGAACTCTACGAGTGTACATTCCTATCATCAAAATAAATAGGAAATAAGATATAAGATATAAGATATAAAATCGCTATTATTTAAATTTGTAATATGTAGTAATGAATTATACAAACCTGCATTGACTTTTCCAAAGAAGTTATCTTTCTTGAAATCGACATCATTTGATCTAACTTCATTTTGAAAACTCGACAAACAATATCAGGTCTATCTGCATGCAGTTAAACCTCTTGCATGAACAAAATCATGTATTTCACTCCATTTTACATTGCATGTGATCGTTATAAATAAATCCGGGTATCCAAATCTTTTGCAAATAGCCATAGCATCTTGACGAGTTATTAAACATGTATCTCATACCACCTGTAAATGAAGCAGGTAGAACAACACGTTTGCCAAGTAAAGAAGGATCAGTTTCACCTCTTCCGATTGCTTCTTGTAATCAGTTAAGAAGATCACAACGAATTAATTTTTGATTTGCTCGTATGAATGATAATCTTTGAGCTTCAATCATAGTATAACAATCAACCAAGAATTGTTGGAATAATCTACGTGTCATGACAATATTACCAAATTCAACAACTCTCTCTTGAATTCTAAATGCAATAAATTCCCTTAAAGAAATACGAATTCTTTTACGCATTTGAGTACGGTTCACGGATTCTCTTATTGGAATATCTTCTTGATAGCCATCTTCTCCATATGGAAATATCAAAGGATATTGCAAAGGAATAAAGGTCTGTATGTGTTTCATGTAGTCTTGTCAATTCACCAC